GGAAACCGGTCCCCTCCCCTTCCATCCCTCTGCCCTCCTGGCCTTTCCCAAGGCAGATACATATCACGAAGGTTCCCATTCAGTGTCCTCAGCTGGCTGTTAGCTAATCCCTACAGAGGTATTAACTGATAATTAAGATATTAGCTGTAAACTTAAAGTATGATTCACCACAAGCAGCATTTTGGTTTTAACAGGTTGTTCTTGGGAACGGGACAACCTTTAAGACACAACCAAATGGCAAAGTGGAGTCTGGGAGTACTCGGTGCCTGGAGCCCTTATGGCCTTCTTGGAGCCCCCCATCAACAGAAAGAAGATGCTGGAGCTCAGTGAGCAACCTTCCAGTCTCAGATCCACCTCCTAAGAGTTGATACCATTAGACACGTAACAAAACCTCTTTGAATCTCAGTTTTCTCATCTGCAAATGGGTATATAAAATATCAACCTTGAAGAATTGTGGCAAGGCCCTCCGTACTCAAGAGCTCCCAAGGTCCTTAACATCCCTTTGCATGTCTCTCATTGAAGGTAACTGTATCAGCTTCCCCATCTCCTGCCTCCTCACACTCTACCCCAAATCAATCACCAAGTGTGTCTATCTCTCCACTTCCTAAATCTCTTCTCAAGCAAAGATCAATGGAGTCTTTGCCAAAGCCTGGACAGATAGGGGACTATGGGGACACTGAGCAGACAGTGGGAACGGAGAGTCTGAGCAGCAGGGAAGGAATGGCTTACTCAATAAACAGCATCAAAACACCTGGTCATTTAGGAAAAAACACTTAGATGTCTTCCTCAAACCACACACATAAAAACATTCTCAATGAAGAGAGATTTAAAGATTTTTAAATATCATAAACAAATAGAAAACATGATAAGACAACATTTTCAAAACTTTGCAGTGGAAAAGAGTAACAGACTTGATCACAAAACAATTTTAAACTTTTAAAGATTAAAAAAACCCATAAACTTAAATGACAAAAAGACCCATAAAACTGAAAAAAGTTTGCAACATATGACAGATAAGGGGTTAAATCCCCAACCCTCTTATAAATCAGTTTGTTCTTTCAAGTCAGTAAAATGCATTTCTCTCTCTCTCTCCCTCTCTGTCATATACACACACACACACACACACACACTCACTCTCTCTCTCTCTCTCTCTCTCTCTCTCTCTCTCTCTCTCTCTCTCCCACACCTCCACTAAAACCAAGTCACAGGTGACCTCCCAAGGCTAATGTAGGATCGTTGTTCAGTCTACATTTTACTTGACCTCACACTTGAAACACATCTGCCTTTGGCTTCCAGGATACCACATTTGCCTGGTTTCCACCTTGCTGGTTGATCTTTCTCAAGTTACCCTTTCAGTTCTTCCACAGCTCCCCAACTTCTAGATGAAGGAGGCCCCAGGGCTGGGTCTTTAGTCCTTGTTTTCTTTTCTCTCTATTCTCACTACCTTGATGCTCATCCAATCCCACAGTTTTAGAACTGTCTTTATTCTGATGACCCGTAATTTGTATCTCTAGCCAAATCTATCCCCTAAGCTCCAGCCTCATTTATCCCACTGTCAACTCTACACTTGCATGTGAATATCTACTGACACCTCAACTTTTATAGCCCACAGCCACCTGGGCAGTCACACAGGGCCCCACAGTCAGGAGGGTCTCAAGCTTGGTTTAGTGCTCTATTGTCACCACTTTGAAATTCTTAATATTTTTTTAAACAAAGGGCTACCCATTTTCATTTTGCTCTGGTCCCACACATTATATAGCCAGTCCTGTCCACCGTGGAGCTTCCCAACTCCAAGCCCACTCCCTATTCTCTGCTCCATCTTTGTTGTTGGCAGCCCCACCCTTCTAGCTACTTGGGCCAAAATCATGGGAATCATTGTTATGGACTGAATGTTTGTGCCTCCAAAATTCGTATGTTGAAGTCCTCACCTTAATATAATGGTATTTAGAGGAAGGGCCTTTGGCAGTTAATTAGGGTTAGATGAGATCCTGTGGGTGGGGCCCTCAGGATGGGATGGGTGCCCTTACAAGAAGTAGGGAAGATAACAGAGCTCTCTTTCCATTTGCACAGAGAAGAGATCTTGTGAGCACAAGCAAGGGAAACAGAGGGTCCTCACCAAGAAGTGAGTCTGCCAGCACCTTGATCTGGGACTTCCTAGGCTTTAGAAGTGTGAGAAATAAAAGCATGCTGTTTAAGCCCATCAGCCTATGGTATTTGGCTGTGGCAGCCCAAGGTGAGTAAGACAGAAATCTTTGGCTCCCTCGCTCTCACATGCACCACCTCATCCAATCTGTCAGCTAGTGCTAGTGGCTCTGCCATGAACATGCATCTGTCTTCTCACCTCCATTAACGCCCCCTAGTCCAAGCCCCCACCATCCCTTCCCTGGATCATTGCAAAAGCCTACTGGCTGATTTCCCTTCTTCCACTCTGGCCTCCTTCACAGCAGCCAGAATGAACTGGGTAAAACGAAATTCAGGTTATGTCATGTCACCAGTCAGAACCTTCCATGGCATCCTGCTTCATCCTAAGGAAATGCCAAGTCCTTAGGGTGATCCACAGACCCAGCATACCTGACTCTAGATCCTTTCCTGGCCGTACCTGCCATTCTCTCCTCAGTCACCCTGTTCTAGCCACACTGGACTTGTCACTGAGCCCTGAACAGACCAGGCCTGCTCCCAACTCTGGGTCCTGGACATCCACATGACTCATTCACTCACTTCCTACAGTCTTTATTTCAATGCCACCTCCCAGCAAGGCTTTGCTACCTACCATATCCAAGTAGCCCGATACTTCCAATCCCTTCCCTGCTTTATTTTTTTTTTGCTTCTCAGCATTTAACACTCATACACACACTATATTTCACTTAATCTGTTTTTCCTTGGCTCTCTGTCTTCTACTACAGCATAAGTTCCATGGAGCAGGTATTTGTCAGTTTTGTTCACTGTTAGACTCCTACCAAAATAGTGCCCAATATAGAGTAGGTGCTCAATAAATGCTTACTGAATGAATGGACAGATGAATAGAAAAATAAGCTGAGGACATGGCATGAACTTGCAATTCACAAATGAAGTGGTCAAGAAGCACACACAAATATGCTCAACCTCATTAGGGGTCAAAAGAAATGGGAAATAAAATCAGTTTTACCTATCAGATTGGCAGGGATTTAAGTAACTGACAAGGCCCATTGCCTCTTGTATGCGCAGTAAATCAGCATAGCCTTCTGGAGGTCGATCTGGCCATACAGATTAAATCTTTAAGTATGTGTGTCCTCTGACTCAGGCAGTCCACTACCAGGGACACTCCTGAAGGACCCAGAAGACAAGTGTACACAGCTGTATGAACTGGGAGACTCCCTGAGGGAGTTGTATAAATAGCCAAACACTGGAAACCACCTAAACAGCCACCATCAGGATTAATAACTGACACATAATTTAAAGACCATCTAATCGATGGGTGTAAAAGGAGAGTGAGGAACTCTGGAATGAGCTATACAATACTTGAAAGTTAAAAAATCAAGTGACAGAGCAGTATAACTAGCATGAGCCCATGTTTTTCCTTTTAAAATATGTTTATAAATACATAGAAAAATGTCTGGAAGTGTTTATCCCTGAGAAGGAAGAGATTATGGGAAGAGCTTGAACTGAATGTTTGAAATGCTTCTGGATTATCCAATAGATAGGTAGGTAACATATAAAGAAAATATCACCTTAATAGTCAGAAAAATAACTCATCTTTAAAGAGAAATCACTTCCCATGTCTCTCCAATGTAGAAGATGCAGAAACAGGACATTCCAAGCCTTCATAATCTGACCCTGACTCAACCCTGTTATTTTCACCTCTACCTCCACACCCTCAAGCACTATGGGATTCAGGCTGATGAAACAATTTTCTATTCCTATGTCTTTTCACAGCTCCAAGCTCGTCTGACAACTCTGTTGATAGGCATGAAGGCCCAGCCAACCCTGCCCTGTGACCGCCTAAGCCTGGTCTCTGCTGAGAGAACCAGACAGGGGGAGATAGGACCCTAAGACCACTCTACAGCCACAGTTGCTGCCCCAGCCTCCAATGGGAATGGCTCATGGGACCTGAGAGATCTGGCAGTGGCCACTCATTTTGACCTGAGCAAGCTTGGCCACCCTTGGCTGTAGGACACCTATCACAGGCACTGGAGGCCACCGATTTGAGGGGGCCAAGGTGGATCGAGCAGGGACGACTGGCCAGAGGAGGGAGCCTGGAGCATCAGCCCCCTCTAAGGTTGTCAGGTTTAGCAAATAAAATTGTATGTCCCATGCAATATTTGGGATATACTTGTACTAAAAAAAATAAAATAAATAAAAAATAAAAAAAAAGAGTTGTTATCTGTCTGAAGTTCCAATTTAACTGGACATTCTATATTTTTTTCTGGCAAACCTAGACCGCAACCCATCCCAGTCCTTGGGACACTTGGCCCTAAGCAGAAAGTGTCATCTGAGGTGTCCAGGAGCAGCAGAGAAACACCAAATGGAAAGGTGAGCTGGGTCATGCCTGCTGCTGAAAAGAGCACCTCTGCCCTAAGGGAGTCCCGCAGAGAGCAGGACCTACCAGAGTCAGAGCCATCACTTGCAGAAGCAAGCACACAAGATGAGTACAGTGACTCTGGCATAAAAAAGCCAGAGCAACCGCGCAAGGGGAGCCCCACAGATGCAAAACCTCTCAGTCAGAATACTTAACAGGTGTGTGCATAAAAGTCCTAAACAAGCCACAGACAGTGAATATGCGGGAGCAAACAGGCACTGGTGGAATTATGTATTCTAGGGCCAGTCTCTCAGTGCCCTGGGGGTGGCCTGGTGAGGATACATAGCTGCTGGGGTGGCCCCCTTTCTCAGAGGTCATGGAACTCCCCTGCAGAAGACCCTGCTGTGCTCCTCTCACCACCGCCCCCAATAAGGGCTCACTCCCAGATCCCTCCCACCCAGTGCAGAGGCATGAGACCAGTGAGCCCACCTCCCCCTCCCCCTACCTGAATCAGATGGTGCCAGGAGGCAAACAGATCAGCCTCTGGGGGTCCAGGGAGCAGCAGCCTGTCCGTCGTGGTCCTAGCATGCGCTGTAGGGGAGGAGAAGGAAGGTTAGTGTGGGCAAAGATGGGGCTTCTGTTACTCCAGGTGGGCTCAACTCGGCATGGGTTCCCCAAGACAGATCCTGTTCCCCCAGCCTAGCAGGGCCCCATGCTGCCTACCGCCAGGAGGATGGGCCTCATGGCTCCAGCCTCACTTCTGTTCCCCAGACCCTTTGAGTGGCCTCTCTGGGCTGGCATTCAAGGTCCTGTCCAAGCCCTCGCTTCTCACCATAGGTCCTCCATACTGTCGTACTGTCCTCCATAGGTCAATCGCACTCTGCAAGTTGTGTTCAAAGCATGTACACTTGTGTATGCATGCACACACATACACACACGCAGGCGCACACATATACAAATACAAGGTCTGTCCGGAAAAAGTCCAACCATTGTTAATATAACAAGAACCTGGCAGCCAAGGAGAGTGGACTGGAATGAGCATGCATGAACAATGATGACTTCACTGTACCAGTCAGTGGGAGTGGTAGACACTGTTGAGTAAGCATGTGTAGTGTGTGACCTTCATATTCAAAATTACTTAGTGAGTCAAGCAATGAATCTGCATCAAATTTTGCATTAAGCTTGAACATTCCCCTGCAGAAACTATTCGGGTGATTCAGAAGGCTGCAGCTATGGGCAACAGTTGATTGGCAGCTTCATCACGACAATGCACCCACTTGTGCATCATGTCTCGTGCAGAGTTTTTTCGTTAAACATCAAATCACCCAGGTGACTCAGCCTCCCTACAGCCCAGATTTGCTACCCTGCGATTTCTGGCTTTTCCCAAAACTAAAAGCACCTTTGAAAGGGAAGAGATTTTATACCCTCAAGGAGATTCAGGAAAATACAACAGGGCAGCTGATGGCAATTGGGAGAACTGAGTGAGGTCTCAAGGTGCCTACTGTGAAGGGGACTGGGACATCATTGTCCTATATACAATGTTTCTTGTATCTTTTTCAATAAATGTCCCTATTTTTTCATAGTGCATGGCTAGACTCCCATACACATACATACACATAACACAAACATATATACACAAACACACACCCATACATACACACACACCAAAATGAGTAGCTCCACCCCATTCTCTCTAAGATTCTTGCTGCTTCCCAACAAGTCTGTCCCCTAAAAGCTTCATTTACATGTCCTCAACCCAGGATGCCTGGCTTCTGCTCCCCCGCCACCTGAAATACTCTCAGCAAGGTCTAGAAGGACCCCACATACCTGTACCAGTCCTCCGGCCCCAACCTGCCGGGGCTCCCTGACCCACCCTCTCCTTGGGTCATCACAGCCCTCCATCACTCCCACATGTGGTCACAAGCTGCTGTTTCCTATCCTCCCCTCCCCACCCCTCCTTGGGGCATTTCACCCACATCGATGTTTCAGTGTTTCCTTCAGAAGACAGTCAAAGCCCCTGCCCTGTCTCCTGCCTTCTCTTCCTCCGTTGCCCAGCTCTAGACACATGGGCCACCTTGTTGCTCTCTGCCTGACATACCATCCTCTGGATCCTCATAGGCCTGGCTCCTTCTTCTCATCCAAGTTCAGCTCAAGGCAAATCCTCAGAAAGTCTCCCTGACTACGGTGTGTGGGAGCCCCTCCTTACCCATGTCACACACTCTGACTCACTGGTTCATCATTTGGCTTTCCCTGTCTCAACAATCCCACAGTGAGCCCTTTTCGCCAGTCAGGTTAACTGAGGTATAATTCACCTGCAGTAAAATTTGCCCTTTTTAGTGCACAGTTCTATGAGTTTTGACAGCTGCATATAGCCATATAACCACTACCATGATCAAGAAAAACACAGAACAATTCTATCACTTTTTAAAAACCTCCATGTCCTGTCCTTTGTAGTCAACGCCCCCCACACCCAGCCCCTAATAACCTAACCACTGATCTATTTTCTTCCCTATAGTTTTGCATTTTCCAGCATGTGGTATAAATTGAATCTATATGTAGCTTTTTGTGTGGCTTCGTTCACTTAGCATATTGTGCATTTGAGATTTACTTGTGTTGTTTCTTGTATCAGAATTTCATTTTTTTTTTTATTGCTGAGTGGTATTCAATTGTTTACCCATTCAGCAGCTGAAGGACATTTGGGTTGTTTCCAGCTTTTGGTGGTTATGAATAAAGCCACCATAAATATTTGCATACAGGTTTTTGTGTGAACATAAGTCGTTATTTCTCTTGGGTACCTAAGTAGGGTTGCCAGGTTACATGTAAACATATTTTAAACTTTATAAGAAACTGCCAAACTGCTTTCCAAAGTGGCTCTACCATTTTGCATTCCCACAAGTAGATGAGAGTTCCGTTTGCACTGCACCTTCGCCAGCACTTGGTGCTGTCCATTCTGTAAAAGTCAATGTATTGTACTAGCTATGCAGTGGTATGTCACTGTGATATTAACTTGCACTTCCCTACTGACTAGTGATGATTAACAATTTTTCATGTGCCTGATTTTTTTTGTTTTAGTACCATCACTATTTAAAATTGTCTTCTGAATTGAATTATTTGTCTGTTTATTTTCCATTTCCCCCACCATATGTGAGAGCAGGGACCTTGACACCCACTCCTCGACACCTAGAACAACAAACATCTGGATGGTGATGATGATGACAGCGGTGATAGTGGTGGCAGCTAACACTCACAGAGCCCTTATCATGTTCCCGGCATTGTTCCGAATGCTTTACAAATATCAACTCAATCATCACAACTACCCCAAGAGACAGATGCTATCAATATCCCCATTTTAAAGAGGAAAAAACCAAGGCAGAATGAAGTCATTAGTTCAAGGTCAAATAACTAACAAGCCAAGCCAAGCTTCAATCCCAGGTGTTCTGCAGTCAGACTCTGCAGCTGTAATCATAGCAGCCACATTTTCTAAGGAATAAAAGCATGGAAGAAAGCCAACAACTTACTCTCCCAATAAGCGTGTTGTCCTGGGCTTAAGGCTATCATATTCAGCATGCCGCAGACTGAATGTTTGTGTCCACCCTCCCCGCCCCCCCCCCCCACCGCCATTCATATGTTGAAATCTAATCACCGGTGTAATGGTATTTGGAGGCAGGGTTTTGGGGAGGTGATTAGGTCATGAGGGTGGAGCCCTCATGAATGGGATTAGTGACCTTACAAAAGAGACTGCGGAGAGACTGCTCACCCCTTTCTCCACAGGAGGGTACCATGAAAAGATAAGACAGCCAACTACAAACCAGGAAGTAGGCCCTTACTAGATACCATATCTTCCAGAACATTGATCTTGTACTCCCAGCCTCCAGAACTGTGAGAAATAAACTTCTGTTGTTTCTAAGCCACCCAGCCTATGGGATTTTGTTACAACAGCTTCAATGAAATAAGACACAGTGGCTTCTATGTCTCCTTTTGAATTTTCTCCCTCCAAAGCTGAACTCATCCTCACTCTCAATCCTGCTTCTTTCTCCTTCTGAGAAATTCAATTTATGGAATTGTGTTAGAATTTAAAGTGCTCAATGGGATAAGAGAAGAGAGGCTTAGTTACACCTGGAGGCTAGTAGGTGTAGAGCCGGGGCCTTCCATGGGCCTTGCTTGTCCACAGGGACTCTTTCTCAGGGCTTTTCCCACCAGGTACAGAGAACGAACGGGAAGTCACGGCCTTGGCTCTTCCAAACCCTTGCTCTAAGTTTCACTCCCTGTACAGAGAATTTTATTGCTCATTGAATGTCTGGGCACATTTCCTCCCCACCCAGCACAGTGTCCCCCACATTTCCTCAGCCTCATTATAATTAGTGGAGGCCATATGGCCAATGGGCTGTGAACAAAAGTGATGTGTGCCATTGCTTAGCCAAAGCATTTAAGAGCCAGTGGGTGACTCTACCATTTTCTCTTCTTTACAACAGCGGATGAAAGAGGCCATGTTTCTGGTAGGGCAGTTACACGACGATGACACTTCTCTCAATCCCCTGAATGACTGTATGTACCACAGCCTGCCACACTCCTCACTTTGCACACTGGATACCTAATGTGAGTTCACATGCTAAAAGAAGAAAGAAGAAGGAAACCTTTGTTCCATTAAATCACTGAGAGTTCAGAGGGAACTCTGTGCAGCATAGCCTTGCTGCCCTACTACACTCCAACTCGCCACTTGGGAGCATATGTCCTTGCTGCATGTGGTCTGAGAACATGCTCAGATGACTTGCAGAGTATGAAAACTAAGCTCCACCTGGGAGCCCTTAAATACTGTATTATGCCATGTGTGCATTATACATGGGATTATTATATCCATTAATAGACCCATGGTATGTAACCATTACACCCATGTATAATGAGCATCTTCATTTTTCCCTCAAAAATTTGGGCAAAAAAGTGTGCATTATACACGGCAAAATATGGTAACTAGGATTTCGAGAGGGAATGGAATAATCTCACTACCCAATTTGGAGAATTCACTATTCACAAGGAACATGGGAAGGTTCCAGGCCCTGCAGCAGGACCCACCAGTAAGATAATACCCACCTGGAGAAGGGAGATATTAGCCGAGGCAGGTGGGAGCACCTCCGTGATAGCTGGGGACTTGGTCTACATTCAAGAGCTTGAATTTGACTTTAGAAAAAACGCTAGTGAGGCAGGAGATAGTCAGGAAGGAGAAAACTCCAAAGGTGCCCCAGGGCTAAGATAAAGAACCTGGATAAAGGGTGGAGACCCTGTTCTAAGACTGGTAGTTCCTGTTTTCTGGAAAAACACTGAATCCTAGTGAATCAGGAATGCACCTGCACCGAAGATGCTACCTGACCCCTGCTTCATTATAATATCATTATAATAAATTAGCATTGTGGGACTCCCTTCCCAGTAGCCAATCAAGGAAATCATGGGAGATCCACCCTAAAGGAATAAAAGCCCTCTAGCCCCTGAGGTGGGGGCTGTTAGGCTCCACTCTGCTCAGAGTTGGCCGACTCCCATGTTCTGTGTGGCTTAATAAATCTGCTCTCTCTCGCTTTCTGCTATAAACTCTGTGTTTG